ATAAAAAAAGGGAAGCTCCTTGCAAACTCCTACTCCAATGTACACTAAATTATTTCATTTTAGGATAAGTGCTCTTATCAATACCTATGAGCAACTTATGTCTTCATACTTGTTAGCAGAATATTTCATTACATAAAGTAGAAATATTATATTCAATGCTGTACTTCCAAGGATATACAGCATCCTTCTCAAAATGGAAACTTTTTTACATTTCGCCATATAAATACTTACCCGAGCCAATTTTTACAAGTCCATTATGTTGAATAAATATAGTGTCACAAGTGAGATTTCCATGAATAATTGGAGGTGAACAGGAATGTAAATAACTGAAACAATTTTAACTAGATTAAAATACGTAAAATATAATGCAAAACTACGGGATTAATACGATCTATGAGATTTATAAGCGATATAAGGAACTGTGTTACCTCAATGCAGATAATATTTGAGTACACCAACGTTTCCATGCTTGCAGGGGTAATTTCTTTACATTACGTTTTGTTCGTTTTAGGAACTGTTTCAATGACCCAGAGGACATATACTCAGTTATGAATATAACCTGATAAACAACAGACAACACGATAAGTAGTATAAGCGTCGCTCGGAATTTCAGTCAGAGTATTAATATGATTATTATGTTTGATGACTCACTCGAGGCTTATCATTGTGAGTATCTGTCCAATACCTATGAAATTTAACAATATTTGGGTGCTCTAATTGTGTCAGGTTTTCAAATACAAGTTGTATTTTTTCTTCTTGTGCCTTGAAGTTTTTCCTTTCAGAAAATTGCACTTCATTCCAAACAACCTCAACACCCTCTTCTGTATCCATTGCCAAGTAAGCACAGTCGATTCCTGGTACATCACGTTGCTCCACCTAGATAACAAATAATATTTATGAGAATACATTATCCTATATGAGCATACGCACACATATATACGTGTATATATATATATATATACATGTGCGTATTTAATGCATATTTAACAAATTGTTTGCACAATGCAAATCAACAACATAAAACGCAAAAAGTTAGTTTATTCGTAGTTATAATTTACACATGTAATATATACATCAATGTTTATTTACAAGGTATAAAAGCTATACAAAGTAAAAATAAAACCAGGCTATTAATACATTCTGAGGACCTATATGCAGAGTAACAGAATATATTACTGCCAATCGTTCATTTTAAAGTTACTCGACGTACGACTCAAACAATTTCATGCCTATTTGCCATTACATTAATGTGACCTTGCAAGGAATTTAAGGAGGGGAGCTCACTGAGAGTAGGGATTGTCATTGTAGGTATTCACATTATACTAGGCTAAAGTGATAAATATAGGTAGTTCTTCCTGAATTGAATAATATACCGTCAAATGTGTATTCAAAACATAAACTAAGATGCGTAAAACAGAAGAGATAGCCTATTTTCCTTTAAATAGACATACCTCCATTTCAGTGACTTCGTTTTCACTGCCTCTGGCTGCTCCAAAGGTAGAGCCTTCGGCTAACGTGGACTTGGAACCTACATATACCTAACATAAAATAATAGTTATTGAACAACAAATAAACAAACATATCTTTTTACTTTTCTTTAGTATCACTTTTGCTTTTCAACCAAAACGGAAACATTGTTGGTTTTATACTGAAATAAACAGATTTTTAGTACACAAAATATATTCCTTAAGCGCTATAAAACAATCATTAATTGTTCTTCTATGTTTGTAATATTATGCGTCTTAATGCTTTATAAAATAACAAAGAGAAACATGTTAGAACAAAACAGTCTTGTGTTAATGTAAGTAGTCAATGGTCCAACTATGCCAATTTATTTTTAGGATGAAATATGAAAGAGATTGCTGTTGGTAAAAGCTTAGTGCCAAGAAGTTGTTGGAGATCATTCTACAGATAATGTGTGTTCGAAAGCTTAATGTTTACAAAAAGAGAATGCATAATAAAAGTTGAAAAATATTATCACTTAAATAAATCTCTATATGTACATTTAATTACATTTTGCTAAATGGTTCGTAACATTTTAATTATTCAGAATATAAAAAAATACTTTTAAGAATTTCTTTTTATTCGCAAAATATAACATTGCATATCCTTTGCACCATGATAGGTACACAAGTCTCGATATTGTAATCAAACTTATGTTCTTTATGAAAGAGAAACTTCTTGTGCAAATATAGTTATCTATGACTCTTTCCATTAACTCTTTCACAGTATAATTAAACGACAAGGACCGACCAGACTCTGATTTCAATAAAGTACAATCACCGCTAATACGTATTATTCCATTACAGCTGAAGTTACAATTCCAATATTCGCCCTTATTGGAATGATTGTTACATTATAGACCTTTACGTACGATTTCACATTAGAAACTCTTCCATACGGCGCACATCTAGGTTCGATAACTAGCTCAAGTTTCGCTCGGCCTTCACTGTGAGAGAATTAAGAGTTCCATAACACTGGTTATAATACATACAGAGAACGTACACGTCCAACCTGTTAGAAGCTGTACAAACCGTAACGAGCCCATATCCATGTACAAATGGACAAACATGTGATATAAACAGACACATTGATGAAGTGTGTATGGTAATGAAAACAAGGGGATGAAAGGAGGAAAAAAACAAGTGTACCTCTTCCCGGCGTTTGAGCCACCGCCCGCAGGGGCTCTCCTCCAGGATTTCACTCTCATCCTCGGAATCTTCACCACTTTCCCGCGGTGACTTGTGCTCTGGGTCCGTGCTGGAGCGACTCCCGGGCATCACACACGCGATTAGTTGAAGGAGCAGCACCGAACAGAGCGCAACGCGGCCAAACTCATCGGTGGCAATTCTTCGACGGAGTTGCTCCTCAATGTTGCATCTGTGCACCGCTGCCGAGAAATACACACGCGTGAACACGTGAACGCGCAATAAGAAACTAGCAGTGAACGTCAGGTCCCGAACGTGATCTGGCACCAGCAGTACCAGCAGCAGCAGCAGCAGCAGCAGTAGCAGTAGTAGCAGCAGCAGCAGCACTCACAGTGACACATGCAGCGACAACCCGAGTCGCAGGAAACCCGAGCTGCGATATTTCTGATCTTACGCGGTCACGCGCACGGATCCACAGTTTCTGGTCTCCCTCAGGGCTTGGCCGGTGTACCGGACATCGCGCGAGCCGTTCGCTGATCACACTGTCAAAATAAAAACCTCTGCTATGAGCGAAATAGGTTCGATGTGACACACACTCTGGTATTCATTTTCGCTCTGTCTTCGGTCACGTTCGCCCAGTATGGCGATCACCGTGCACCGCACCCCTTTTCGGGTCGATTCAGCTGCTACCTACCGACAACCCCGTCAACTACGTTCTCAACGTCCCCGGACATGTTCCGCAGCACCGACAACGCGAGATGTCGAACGTTTCGGACGACGCTCTATGTCGCGGCGTAGTTCACGACCGATCAAGTACATGCTACAGAGCGGCCTAGCATCAATGGAGACATCTTTATTCGTATCCTGCTGTGCCCCACCACCGGAAAATTTTTCCTCGTGCGAACCGTCGACAGTACCCCTCAACTTACGTTTAATAACTGAAACACCGTCGTAGCATAATTCAACTGAGACTCCCGTCTCGGTCGTTAAGCATAAGTTGGGTAACACTGTGATCGATCAGCGTAAGTTGAAAATCAATGACGAAGCGCACTGGATCCGGTGCTTTCTAATGGAAAATGAATTTATTGGAATCATTCGAAATTTATGTTTGGACCTGTTAAATATGTTGCATTCTGAGACAGGCTGGGTAAATGTTTCCGCTTTCCTTCGAATGACATTTCATTGACATTTTCAGATGTATCGTATTTAATGGTTCATCCAACACCCGTTCCATGACGTGAACTTTCAACAACCCTGTGGTCGTTGTTAATTCAATAACTGATTCTTTTCGTAACGAATCGCGGTCCACCGCAATGGCGTGTGCAAGAACGTTACCTTTATTGGAAGGCGCGAAATTAATCGTCCTCGACGAAGGTATGAAAATATTACATTTAAGAAATAAGTAATTAGCCTGTAATATGAAAAACAATATGTTCATATTTTTTTATATGCATTTTAGGGGTGGATGCAATGTACGCGAGGAAATTAATCGCGGGATGGATACAAATGTGGAAATGTAAAGACCCTAATCTCACATTCGATTTGCTGTTATTTTCTGATCCAAAGTCCACGTATAGACACGAACCTGACCCTTTTATGTCAAATAATGTAAATATTCATGATTATTACACGGTTGATATAAATCAACTCGATGTGAGTACAATTCACAATAAGGATTTCGATACCCTCGAACATATTTTAAAGACCACGAAAACAAAATCTACTGTGATCATTGATTGCTTGACATCTCTGATCTTATTTGTTGGTTTGTCTAAAGCATTGTGGTTCTTGGAAAGATTAAGTAAACAAGTGTTACAATTAGTATGCATCTATAGACGAGACTTCGTTCAGAATAAAATACCTTGCATCGAAACATTAGGCACCACGTATGTAAAAATAGAAAGGTTCTGCGGTGTGCATACAAACGATAACATCAAGTATATGGTAGAAATTATACATCGTAAACTAGGTGGCACACTTTTAAAGCAACTCGAATTAGTAACTCAAAACAGTACTTCCTATGAGATTCAGTCGGAAAAAGTTGAAGCGCATTGTAAAAAACAAGATGCAGCACATGAAAATGAAAAACAAAAGGTTGAATCTTCGTTTAGGATAGAAATAAGTGAACATGAAATGAAACAAAGAAAAGAAACAATATTACCATACATGATTAATTCAAATACAATAAATACATCAAAAATTCATTATCAACCAGAAGATATAGACGATATCGACGAAGAAGATCCAGATGATGATTTATGTATCTAATTTATATGTGAAATGCATTGACAAGTCATCATGGGATATTAAAATGCACTCTCCTAGTATGTTTATATTTATGCTATTAATATCTTAAGCAAAGTTATTTATTTTATAATTGTTTTGCATTTTATACAATTTTGTTGAAAGCCACATAGATGTCTACTATTTTGTTACTGTACGTACAATCGCCCAATAAAAGGTTCCTTTAAAGAATATTTGACATACATGAATTTTATTAATACTCCATTCATTCAAATTATATTAGTTAGAAATCATCTTCGTCAGTAGAACACTGGCCATTTAAACTTTAAAACAGCTTTTGTAAAAAATACAGATTTTTCAAAGTGCTAGTCTCAAAAAGGAGGTTCAATGTTGTGTAAAATTTTAGCCTTTAAAAATAGAACGTTAAATATTAGTACTTATCTTTGGCATTTGTTGTAACATAGCTACATCACTTTCATCTGAATGATCTAACTTTATAAGAAATACACGTGTCAGGTATTATGATTAGTATATGAAACAGTAACACAGCCTCGAATATACTTTACAAGAGATTTCAACGAATTGTCGTATACGTGTACATACATGTATATATACACACACAACATATAAATCTATCATTAGATATGTAAAAATTTCACAGTAAAATAATACGATATATTAAGTAAATAAATAATCTCGAAGACTTGAAAAAAAATTACATGTCTAATGCAATCATGATATTTTTACAAAAATATTCCATCTTATAACGCTTTAAAAAAATAAATAACATTAAGACAGGAACTATAAAAAAAAGGATCTACAATTCACGAAACCTATTCGTGATTTAGGCATTAAAAGTGTAAAATACATTTTCATCATTGAAGTGGTAGGTACCATCGATGTGCTGTAGTACTCTACTTTCTAATAGGCAACGACCATATCGAACAGCTTCATCTCTAGTTTGTGCAACACCAGCTTCGATTAGCCAATTAACTAAATCAGTCCCACTGAAAACACCTTTATATATCTTTAACAAGCGTCTGCGGCAAATTGTAATACGAGCACGGCATTCAGCTAAATGACAACGATTAAATTGCTCCCGAATAGCCTTTGCCTCTGGGCTTAGTTCATCTTCAGAAGGCAGCTGCAACTCCTTACCTAAAAGCATTTCATTTGCATTACGTATTTCAAATATAACATCACTATGAGTGCGAGTTTTTCAAAGTTTTCTCCTGTAACGCATTCATGCAATATTCGCACATTACACTAAACATACTTTGATAAAATTTAATTAATTGCGGTGATTAAGGTGCAGAGTAAAAGTTATCAAAAGCACCAGGAAATATTCATACAAAAATAATGAAGAACAAAGAAGTATATCTACAATAGTAGAAAGTATGCTTGGTATAAAGCTCAAAATATTACTAAATATGTACAAAATTTCATTCTAAAATTAATTTAAAAAAAAATAAAAAAGCGCTCAAGAACTATTCAAGTCAATAAATGTCTCAAATGAACATTACTCATTTCAGTTTTACGTCTTATATCAAAAGAATAATGGTCCTACCAGCACGCCATTCTCGACAAATTTTTCTGAGCCAATAGCCTAATTTCCCTAGGCCAGGGTCCAAGCCAAAGATAGCAAATGCGATTAATGACTGGCCTAAGTTCAAAGCGACGTCCAAGAATGTCAGTTCCGCGTAAACTCCGGTCAATTGTTCCATAATTAGTGTTCCAATCGATATAGATAAACCCTGCCGCAGCGTTGTGTAACATTGATTACATTGCAACTTCGGGATAACATTATGTTGACAATTGCGCATATTGTCAATGGAAATTTCTGTTCTTTACTCACGATAAACATAGAGCATAGGAGTAAAATGAGAAATACTAGATGTCGGAGTATTTGCGCATCGTCCGTTGCGTCTTGCTCGTTCTCAAGATCACAGTTGTCGATTTCGTTATTGTTACCTCTGCACGTCCCACTTGGACAACCATCCGGATATTCACAACCGATACTGGAATTCATTCATTATTTTATAATATCATTTAACTCTTAGGTAATTTACCTGTTATTACTTTAGTATACAAACTATACTTACATCGGTGTGCGGGAGCTAGGCGGAACTAAATCCTCAACATCTACTACGTGTCTTTCAATCCCTTCATCCGTAGAGTTCTCTATATTATCTGCTAAATTGCTGTAAGATGCTGAAATGTGTCGGCGTTGATATCTCTGTTGTAAAATCAAACAACCCAAAGTTACTATAAAAAAAAGGAGAAGTTAAAGAAAGCCATTTAACTTTATCTATCTTTCTGTCCATTGTTATACCGTACCTATAAAGCAAAATATTAATATAAAAGTAGACGTTGCTGCTTGAATTCTACCCAGCTGGAAGTTAGGATTCTTAAAATCGAGTATTATCTCCTTTGGACTTAATGTACTACACATTATAATTGTTATTAAAAGTGGAACCCTGTAAATATATACAATTTTCAGCTACATTACTGTGTTAAATATTGAAAAACAGTTATTATCTTTCGTCATACCCCCATCCAACAGGGAAGAACCACTTTTGCATATTTTTCACAAAGTTCAAGGATCGGGAACTCAGATATAATAAAGTTGCTGCTGTTGCCATTGTCCAGATGCGACACGCGTAAACGCCAGTAGTTATTAAAATGAACTGGACATACCTATATGTACATGCACGTATACAATTCAATTTATAGTGTACGCTATAAGGATTAATGAAATAAAGACTAAAAATTAGAGTACCACAAGAATGATCCATTGCTGTGCGAATCAAGTTTGGTCCAGATGATCACACCTATGGCTGTAGCTAACTGAAAATGTAAAAATTCGAATCAAAATTTAAAGCGTTCATTGCGCATACTTCAGTTTAAAGTATAATAGCACAAACCTGTGCGATTACGATACACAATGTACATCGATGAGTAACAGATTTATATTTCTTTCTTTCCAATCCTATAAAGCAAATTAACAACCATACGCAAACTGTTATTGAAGCAATGCTCACATCAAAAGAAAATATATTCAGTTGACGAATGTAATTTGCTGGTGTAATTCCAGCAGAAACTGCATCAATTACTTTTGCTGACACAAACATAAGTGGAGCAGATAAGAATGTGCAAGCAACCATTGCTGATGCAATCAAGTCAATTTCAAGATTATATCGGAGAGTAAAAATGAATAAAGCTGGTGCTGTCGGGATAGTTCCATATAAAAATCCATATGTACTTAAATCTTCAGTATCCGTAGCATTCTCTCCAGCATTTAAGAGAATAATAGACTCTCTTATAACTAACGGAAGAACCAACAATTTTACTGATATCAATATGCCAGGTATAACCAGAGCTGTACCCTTCAGTTTATGCACCTTTCCAACCATCATTAAACCCAGTAGAAAGAGAGCACTGGCAGAAAACGCATTGCCAAATACATCTAGAACACTAGCTAGGACGCATGGTATCACATGGCTAAAAATAAGATTTCCCACTATACCAAGTACAGTCATAAAAAGTACTGGGTTCAGCACAATCCCCTTAACAATAGAATAAATCATGTTTTTGTAACTTCTATGGTTTTCATTTCTGCGTTTACCAATTTCTAATAAAACGAAACCAACTGGATTTAAGATAGCCAATGATATAGGTGCCATTAAGTATAAGTAAGCAGCATATTCAGGATGCACTTTCCCATATAATGCAGCAACTAAAAAAATATATAATTAATAATATAGTATTAAAGGTATATGCAATATGTCCTGCTTTACTTACTCATAGGATATCCTATAGCAAAATCATTACTTTGTGTGGTAAATATCGCAAACAGGGCAGCACATCCTGGATTTGATGTTCTTTTAATGAATAAAGAGACACCAAGAACAGTGAAAAACACACAACCTTTTGCTAATAGAACAGCAAGTAAAAATTTCCAATTCACTAAAGTAAAGTCAAGCTTGGCTAACGACGTGAAAATTAAACATGGTAGAGCGAATGTTCCCACAAAAATATTCAAGCCGTTTCCTTCAGTTTTTGTAATGATATCAAACCTTCCAGCAATATACCTGTAAGATAAAATATTTTTAGGAATAAAATCAAAGAATTCGGATCGTAAACCATTATGTGAAATTCACCCGCATAATATAATAGCAAAGCATTGTATCAGTGCAAGATACAAGTTATCTATGGGTTCATTTTCCATTGCAGCAATATGTATTTCCTCCACAGTAGACATGATTGATAATATTTAATAATTTAACATTCAATAATTACTCTTCTTTATATAATTTAACAATAAATGTCATCTCATTAATACAGTTGTATCACTGTACCATAACGGACAGTTATAAGAAAAAGCATGTAATGTTAACTTCATGTCAACTTCATTCTTATTCCCACTAGCATTGCTTTTATCAGTGTGACCTGAAAATTGAAAAAAATATACAACACGTAACGTCGTTGCTAAGATAAATCGTATAAAAGTTTAATTCATTCACGAAAATAATGTGATAGGAATATTACTAGGTGAATTAATGATCAACATGTTGAATCGTTTGATGTAGCAGCTGGCGTATGTTCATGCGAGAAACAGATTGTACGTCAAAAAGTAACAAATGTAGTACCGCAATTCTTATTATCAATTGTTAGAGGATGCGATGCAAAATTAATTGAAAAATGACAGTAAACGTGGGCAACTGATACGGAAACTTTCATTTGTCATGAATCACTATAAAGATGTGTCAAACATGTTGATTGTTTTTCGTAGGCGATATGTAAATAAATAAGTACGCACAAAAGTTTCTTCGTTATCTTGCAGGACGAGACCGCGAAAGATACCGATAACGATTCAATGAAGTAAATATTATATATGCAAGTTTACATTCACGAAAAGTTCACGATAAACCGTACGCGTTACGTATACGGGAAATTTTCAATCTTATCCAGATGCACGCGACATCGATAATTCCCCGTTGATTCATCTGATTGGTCTCGCCGTATCACGTGCCCCGAACGAAACTTGTCATACAAAAATATTCGAATCTGACATTTACAATATAAAAATCACGAGGCCGTGATCAAAAATGAAACTCTCCAGACGATATAATTTCAAAAATGGTAATTAAATAAAAATTCATTTCCCATGGTACAGATTTTATTAGGTTAGGTACACAAGATAACAGATTTCTCTTTAAATTGAATTTAATCGATAAAAATCTGAAACGAACTAATGTTGGGAAATCGGCGTACAAAGAAATCATGAGTTTAAGCAATTTTTGTTTCCGTGCTATCCTGTAATCTAACTTTCCAATTCTGTATCGTACGCGGTATCGTATGGCACGGTATCTAATCAATGAAAAGGTCGATGCATTCTGTCATTTATACTGACATGTGTTAAAAATGTACACGTGTAAAAGCTGCTAACAGGATGTGCATATGTATGCACGATACGTCACAAGTAATGAGACGATTGCGACGTTACACGGGAAGACAAAAAAAATATTGTTTATCGTTATTGAGGAAAAATTCTCTGTTTCTGTTGATAAGGGGGTAATAAGCACGTCTGTACCCTGGATAATCATCGATGTTGAAACTTATCAGAAAACTACGTCTCTGGCAGACTTTGTACTCGCACGAAACGCAAAACAAATATTTTCAATCGCTGATTTCAATATCGAACCGTTTCTTGCAAATATTTTGCATCGGATTTATTACCATTTTTTTCACGCCGTTTCAAAACAAAAATCCATACACCGTTATGATGTAATAAGATGTTATAAAATTTCGGTAGTGGGGTTAAAAAGTGGGTCTAAAATGACCCAGGATCAGCCTTCCGTGTTATTACAAAAGTTTACATCGATGTTTACGGAACGAGGATTCCGGAAACCTCTCCTGTCAAATCTTTCCTTCGAATAATATTATAAACAAATGTAAAGTGTATGTATCTTTTTATTACAGGTAATGAAATTTAAATACAGTGTATTATAATTAATATTTTGGCGAATTTACGGATCCTAATTATGAATGAGGAAAGCAAAAACCATTGCATTCATACACACACATACAGATGTCTTAACACCGATGCACCGAACAAATGACAGATAAAAAAATACATATATATATATATGTCTACGTCACTGACCTCCATGACTCATAAATTCCTGCACCTTGCGCAACAATGAATTTGCAATTTAGAAAGAGACTTATCCGTTAAACACTCCCGATCGATCCGCGTTTAATCTATCGATCGAGAGATTAGCGGAAACTCGCTAGCTCGTAGATTCTAAGAAGAAAATATCCGCGAATCTTCTGCTACACGGTTCTCCGTTCACGGATTCCCTTCATCATGCGTACGATGATTCATCCGTGACAGAAAACTTCCCGGACACATTGCTCCCGGTGGAAAGTTCATTCGAGAGGTTGTTACACCGAATCGTACGAAAAATAATATTCTCACTTACGTTCACTTGGCCTAACATTACCTAATATTCAATATTTAGTAACTCTACAATAAAAAAAAAAGAAAAAAAACGTGCAAACGATTATTATATTTATCACGAGCATTCGACATTATGCGACGTATACGGGCAATTGTGTAACGGTCTCGCCCCTAATCAAATTTGCACAATTCTATTATTCCGGCTGTCAAGCGAAACATATGCAAATTGTGCCAAAAACGGTTGGTTTACATCCAATTCTCTGAAATAAAATAATATTACTGCGCCGTAAGTCCATTCTAATCGGGACGCGTACACGGAGTCACATTATAATCACGTGACCGATAGCCAGTGCTTATAACGCGATTATGTATCAATTTGCACGTGTGTGCGTGCACGTAGAAAATTTCAGTTGTCCGTCGCGTTAACCGATTCACCGGTTAACAATATCGCGAGCACGGTTCCCGATAAGATAATCGTCGCCGGTTAAGGGAAAGAATATGAAAATTCCGCTTTCAAGGTCACGCCGAGGTAGCTCGTTAGAAAGTTACATAGAACGAACCCGTCCGAGTCGCATGAAAGGCGCGAACGGGCCTCGGCTTCAGGTAGATACATATGTAACGTACATCCAGTTTTTCCTGGAACACGTGGGTAATTACGTTAGCGTTCCAGAGAACGGCAGTCGTTACTCATCGTGACGTATTTCGAACCAGACGATGCTGACGTAAGACTTCGATAGCCGAACAGCTGGAAAACGGTTCAATTTCCAGAGACGCGATTACGCTCGGCCTATCGCATTAAAGAGGATTATGTACACGTTCCTGATGCATCCTCGTGCCCCCTCGAACTGCGCATTTTATTCGGCCACAATAGAATTTCTCTATGACACGCGCCTCGAATAGGATCCTCTTAAAGGTGAAAACGTACCGAGCGAGAAACTTGCGACATACGCGTTTCTCCAATGGCAACTCCCGTGACGCATACAAACGCATTGCAGACCGTTACGCGACGAGTCGATTCACTTGCGACAATAACAAAGCGAAACAAAAGTGGGAACGTTTCATATCCTTTTCTCGTAATGTTGCGAGCTCCTTGCCGGTGTGCTCGCACCTTAAGGATTTCCTATTTCATACGGAGACGGGTATTTACCCAGATACGACGATGATCGTAACAGAATCGCCGGATGTAACGCGAGAAAGCAGCCGCGCGATACACTTCGCGTCGGACAAGGAGAAGAAATCGGTTTCCTGGTTTATTTACAAGAAAAGAGAAAAAGAAAAAGAAAAAGAAAAAGAGACTCGCGCGAACTGCGTCTTCTAAACTTTGCGTGGAGGGTAACGGTCACGTGGTGACCTATCGAAGACTCTGATACGGACGTGGGAGGGGGAAGGGCGATAGACTGAACGTATATAATCTTCCCGCTCGCGTTCCACCACCCAGTTCTGCACAGACTTCGGACACGTGAATTGTGTCAAGCTTCCAAAGGGGGAAAGTTTTTGTTTGTTTGGTGCGCTCATTGTATGGGTAAGTCGTGCACGCTTTACTTTACTTTTCTCCGCTTTTCCCTCTCGCCACGGGAAAATCATTACGTGTTCGCCCGTGAATGATACGCTCGATCGGTAACGGTAATTCGTCCGTGCGTTACATACGTACTTGAACACTCCGTGCGCTCGATTCAAGAAGAAAATACCCTTCACTCGGTGTGCCATGCATTTCCGCTTTGAGTCAGTATGATTGATGACGTAACGCGCGACACCCATGGAATTTGATGATGATGTATACATAACGGTTAGAGCGTACCGAGTCGAGGATGCGCGGAACAAAACGTAAACAAATGTTCCGAGCGTCTCGGGTTGCCCGTGTTCGCGTTGTGATTCAAGCTTAAAGTTTTTCTCTCGTTCTGAAATAAATGCCAGTACCGTCGAGGTATTCGAATATATTTATTCTTCGGTTTTCGTTTGAACAACCGTTTCCCGTTTGTTTGTGTCACTTTTTATCGTGGTTTTAAATTGTTGGACAACGGGGAACGTGGATGTGATAGGTTGATGACACTCGTGTATATCGATAGGTATCGGTAATTTTCACCGTTGAAATAACTGTACAAGGTGATTTACATTGGTAAAAAAAATTGATAACATCGTGCGACGAAGGTCGCGGTAGACACGTGGCTTGCCATACATCTATTTGGTCGTATAGACGCGTATATACTGTCGCCATGTTGGACACCAAACCAACGACAAAGCCGATCCGACTCTCCGCGCTTATTTCGCAAATTTTATCGTACGGGACCGTACTTATTCGTGTCCTTAAATAGCAGTGGACTTTCGGTAAATCGATTTAGCGTTTGAGATATTAGTTGTCAGATTATAGGCCCGATATATTCTTATCGAGAGAGATTAAGTAGGGACGATATAGATCTTCAGACAATATCCTATTAGAGGGTGACATAAGTAGCTCTTAAGAGGCGTTTGAAACAATTTCTGAGAAATGTTTGCTTTACAGAGCGAGAGAAGAGTATAAAACACGGAGAGAGCCCTGTGGAGCCAATAAGCAGCTGCAGGGATGAGCATGGCTTCGTGCCAACGGTTGGCCGCTGGGGAAGCGAATGGCCAAGTTGACTCGAGACGGCAGACATATGGTGCCAGCCACAGGGGCAGGCACGCGGGCCCTGGATCAGGGGTGTGCCGCTACCCCTGCCGGTTTGGGCCCATTACGAGTCACCAGCCCTAACCGTGTCAACGGTTGAATTGTACGAGGAACTAGCAGGCAGCGTTGAATTAGAAACGCAACACCTATTGCGTGAGCATCGCTATGATACCATTGGCAACTTCCTGAAGTGAGTATATTAATGGGTAAAACAATTCTATTCGTTTCTACATAGGAATCGGCTAGTAAAGTATTCTGTTTCGTGTTTAATAGGTTCTACAAGGACTATGTTGCGAGCGGTGAAAGTGTATTGGACAGATTTTATCGTAAATATCAACCACTCATAACCACAGAACATCAGACATGTGTGGGTTTGGGATTTGAGTTATTACATCGGTTAAGGGGTTTGAATAAAAGATTTCCTGGTATATCAAGTGGCCTCTATTTGGTGTCCTGTGAGGAGGTATGTTTTATGCTTTGTACAAACCTATGTATGTACATTTAAGACTTGTACTAATTTGAAAAAATGTTTACTTCAAGACTATTTGCAATGTTGCTAATTACGTTGGTGGACCACCCGCTGCAGACAGTGGTGAGAAAGAGCATGTCCTAGTGTGCCTAAAAATTGAAATTAACGGGCGACGAGGTGTTATGCTCCTTGATCCCGGATATCACGTAGCCCGAGTCATTACTGTAATGGCAGATAAGTTATACCCGCATACAGGCTGGTTTATTCAGTCGGATGAACCGGATTGTAAAAAAGAATACAACTACTTTTTGTGTGCTAACGATCCTGATTACGTCGAGTGGCATGAGAGGAAAATTCACCCCGATGCCTTGGAGAGAACACAAGTTGCTCTTATATATGTAGCAAGGCCATATTTAACTGCTATCGATGTTACAGAACGTAGAAATTTGGTTTATAACTTCAGAAGTCTCCTCGCAAGAGACACAAAAGGTCATGTTACTGCTGGCATGTATTTCCCTGTTATACTAGATATGAACAGTGCACAGACTTTTACAATTTTTTATCAGACTAGTAATGGTAAAAAAAGGATCAAAATGGCATTCAACAAATTCTGCAGTTCACCAAAGGTAAATCGATTGTGTGTGTAATGCTGTGATAAAGTTTACATTTTACATCTATATAATTCTTTATTTGTAAACGATAAAATATTGGTTTTAGATCGATCCTGATGCCGAAGAGATGGAAATTATTGGAGAGTGTGCTCGGCAGTTAAATCTGCCACAGGAGACATTGGAAGATGTACTTTCTGCTCTTGCAGTGGTCATGAGCGATTCTGCCTTTGTGGCGCAACTCCTGGCTATTAACAAAAGAATATCTACTTTAGCAGAGGACAATTAACAGACGTCAATCCACCCTGAGAGGTGTAAACGAGATGAAACATGTCATTATTTTGTCGGCTTTCCTCTTACTTACTTTTTTCTGTTTACTGCCGTGTTAATGCTTTATCACTATGTACTGTAAAAGTTAATTTTATTCTTGTTATTATATAGAGCTTAATATTTTTAAGAGAAATCTTAAATAAAAATATATTGTATTTTGCGCAGTAACATTGAATTTATGGTTCGATAAAAAATGTTGAAGGGTATGTTTACAATCGTTCGAGAATGATTTGTTAAACATTCAAAAATGCTTTGTATCAATTATATAAATTGTTTTTATTTTATCATTTGCACATGTTATTATTAGTGTTTAGTGAAATATTAGAAGCTATTGGGTATTAGATATTTCCATTAAAACAGTGCCAAATAAGGCTAAATTAGTTTAATGCTTATATATAATTTCAGGGAAAGTTTATTGTATTAGGGATATTTGATATTATTCAGATCTTTTTATTGTTACTATGAAGCCTGGGTTCCAAATTATACTAAATCTATCTTTTGTATTTGAATGAACAGTGACAAGGGAAACAATTTCATGTAGTTACTAATTTATTGATAAATACACTACCCCAAAATATGTTCCTTCTTATACTTGGCATTGTTGAGTACACTCTTGAAGAACACATTTCTAAGATTAAATATATTTTTTTGTACCAAAAAGAATACGACTATCAGAAGAATTTTGTTTGAACTTAATCTTAGACAATAAGATCTCTATGAAGATAAAATACTTCAGATCCTAAAAAGCAATACTTTAAACGATCGTTTCAATTACGAACAAAATATTTTATCGAGTCAGTTATTATTACTTACAAACTAAACTTTCGGAAAAACAATAATCAATTAACAGTCCTTTGATGATGTATCTGTATACACGTTAAAAATCAACGTAATATACTTTTTGTCCATCGTTACTCACTTCTTACATCCTTAAACATTGTTCCACAGAATCTCTACATATATTTATGCTTTCCACATAGATGCTAAGAAATAGTAGGTCTATGTGTAAAATGGAAAATAATTGCAGTGGAACTTCGGTAAACGTGAATGTATGATATATCAATTAAAGATTTAAATTTTATCGTTGATCGGGCACTCGATCAGAGGATACTCTGATTTATTAAAATTGATAAGATATATGAAAAAAGCTTACATAAAATATTAGTTTTACAAATCAGAAAGAGTGAATCATTTTTTTTACTGTTTCCAATAAATTAGTTTAAACAACGAGTTTACCGAGGTTCTGCAGTATTATCAGAATATAATTTAAATGGTTTTTGAAGATCTAAATATTATTATCTGACACTGCGTGACGCTTCTTGCTAACTTTTATATCCGGCGTATGTTCACGTTTTCGATTTCCTGTTGCATTTGCAGTAGATGCTGATGTTGTTACTGCTGTTGTTGCTGCTGATGTTGTTGTTGCTGATGTTGCTGCCGATGTTGCTGCTGCTGCTGCTGCTGCTGCTGTTATTGCTGCTGGTTTAGCTGGCGAAGCAGCAGACTTATTACGACCGGATACGTCAGAACTGTGAACATGTTTACCGTCGGGAATTAGTTTGTTTTATTTGCTTTGCAGTCGAACAAATATAAAAGAAATATTGCCCTGTTGTTACGTGATTAGTCCATGTGTAAACAACATTTGAAAAGTATTTTGCAAGTTTTTAATACGATTAAAAACTAATTAATTTACATAGAAGATGCATAAGTAAAATTACACTGCTGATTAAAAGTAATGTAGAATTGATCGCAACGTACTTACGTTGCATAAAGTGTCACCATTGTGTACTATTCTTTTACTTTATTTATATTTGCGGCTGTACCTGCAATACACAATATGGTATATTCCATACCAATGTCTTTTGCCACATTACGAGTAACGTAAGATAAATGATTAAAAAAATCTGATTAATACAGCCATTAATTTCTCTGTATCTGATGTAGACATGGAAAGAAACATATAACAGAATTTCTTGAATGAAGTACCAGGCGAAGTAGGGGATCTAGACAGCGCAATACTAATAAACTTAAGAATAAATTAATCATGCAGCAAGTAAAGCCCATATTTTTGCTACTATATACCAATACCATATACTATGTACCACATTACAATTGCATACTCTTATATATAGAAAATTACTTTATGAATGAATGTATACTTAAATTATTTTGTTGGATACATTATCGCCTTTAATGTATAAACACATGGACATTCATTGAACTGTTGATTGAAAATCTATTTATTATGGAAAGTAACGTGTATAGAACTTACCTCAAGGTATGAGGAGAAGTGTACGTTTTAGATGTAGGTGGTGATCTAATACTACGTCTGGAAGAAGGTGTCCATCTTGAAGAATTAGAGTATCGACTATGAAAGCACATAACAAGCGCATAAATACTATGAAAACGAAATGGCAAATAGCGACAGAAAATAAAGCTAACCGCGAGAAATGAATCGAAACTTCTATAAATCGCGCAACCTTTATAGACATCGATAATACGCAAATTAAAAGAAGAAAATCAAGTACAACGTTATGTGGTTTATTGTAATATTCGTTTTATTTATATACCTCTTATAATTTGGACTTTTTATGCAACTAAACATAAGATACTGTCGTTCAATTTTTCATGTACAATTTCACTATGGAATGGTTAATAATTTGTTACCATAATGATGTACGCGGAAATGAAGAAATGTTACATGAACGATAAATTCAAAGGACAGTAGTGTTTTCGTTATTATTTGAAAAATGTGAATATCACAAAATAATATAATGCAAGTACAGCTATCGAACATGCTATACCGAACTTAAAGACACGAAAATAAATATTAAGTCATGCATGATTTTATTCTAACGGTTGATACAAAATTTTGATAGGAAATGCACGAAGTGAGGTAGAAGTGACAGCATGATGTGATCCTGTTTCTCCCTTCATTTTTTTTTACTGGTTCGCCTTCTGGATTTCTTAAACCCACTGTATAAATTTGAATTTGTCAGTTATGTTTCTGTATAAGTGATATTTGTTATATGTTCTACAAATTTACGTCTACGTTTTATTATCATATGTATATTTAACGCACTATCACTTTACCAAAATATGTAACAGTACTACACTTATATGCATTATATAGACACCAATGAAAAATTTGTACTTTATTTTATAGTTGCATGCTGCATGCATCCACATTATATAAATGAATTAATTTCTGTTTCTTTTCCTATAATTGAAACTGATCCATAACTTTTTGGAAAGGTACCCTACCTTTAATGAATACTTTCCAAAGATTTTCTTTAGAATATAGATTATAAGTTTAGTAGACTCACCTTCCTGATGGATCAGGCAGAGCAAGTTGTCTATGGTCAGGACGGCTTCTATGACCATGGCCACCATAATGAGAATTAGTAATGGCGCCAGCTGCATTGCGAGTGCGCGATTCCCATTCATTGTTGAAACTCTCTGCTTCCTCTAAAAAATAATATATATAATTCAATTTTGATTTTCTCAAAAAGAATATATCTTAGCAATATATGCAAAAATAGAATACCTTCATCAAGGTTAATGAACTCTTGACGTTCTTCCTGTTCACCACTACGAACATTATGTTCGCGTTCCATAATATGCGCTCTCTCTCCAATATGATGTCCAATAGCCATTTTTTTAACTCCAGTACGAGAATCTGAAACTGTTTTCTTTGTCTCCTTTACACCTCCAGGAGCAGTTGTTGTCGATGTGGTCTCTTGATACACCTGTGGACGACCATCAGGACCATTGCCCATAGTCATTACCGATCTTGAAGTAAACGAATGACAATTTCCACCTTGTCCCATATTATCCTAAAATATAACAAAAAAATTGCTATATCTTCACGTTTCATATTCTCAATCATTTTTTATATTTTCAATAATGTAAGGCTATTAAGTTACTAACGAAGTCTGTAAAGATTCTGTTTATATTGAACGATGGCATAGGTGGAAATCCAAATGGTGTCATCTGAAGATTGTTCTGAGGGTTCCTACCCCTATGTCCTCCGTTTGTAATAGCATTTGCACCCATCATCCCAAATGGGTCATTAAACAATGAATTCATCATATCATTCATCTGTCTCATGGACCTCATTTGGGATCTGCAATGAAAAATTGAAGATTTAAATAAATCTCGTTTTCTTGCGGCAAAATCTCCATAACTTGTTTAATTTTAATAAACCATGTCAATTGAGTAAATGCAAAACACAAACGAATCACTATGGAAACAAATTGAGTCTGAAGTTTGAATAAATTTTTGATCCCTCAATTGTCAAAATCCCGCGGTTAACCCTACCCAAAAATATTTTCACCGATAAATATATTTGTCGACGAAAATATGTTTCAATCGAAACTTCCAATAACGCTGTCATACGTGTCGCGCAATTCCAATATTTTCGTAAATTGCATCGATTCGTGCAACTCGTCAAACGAACGTTCGGCAACGATACTTTATTCGAAACGTAATCTTACCTCATAAATTATAATATATATATGACCTTTGCAATTAATTGTGTAAATGCGAAGTTCGAAAATACGTTTCGCAAGAAACAAATAATAATTCGCGAAAGAATTATTAATCGTGTATGTAACGTTCGTACAAATACAATGAGTCGGTTCCACTTACCCAAAAAAAGGATCATCGTCAAGATCACCCATCAGTGATCCGAACAAGGGCATTTTGGAAAACAGTTGCTCTGACACTGTTTCTACGGAGAACAACTTACGACCGACAGAACAGAATCGAGGGAACTGATAATGCTTTGCGAAGCGAAATTTAGGTTCTTATCGAGAAATTATCTTCGCAAATGCTCTGGAAACTTCTGGATCGGACGCAAACGTACATCAAATATCCAACAATGTCTAGCACCACCGTTTATCTAACGTAAAACGAACACGAACAAAACGAATACATAGTAGCCTATCCTTTTTCCGTCAGTTCGAAGATCACCAGCTGAAACGAGAGCCCACTCTTAAGCTTTTATACTCCATGGTGTATAATAAATCAAATTATTCATATCAGCCCATTATACAGAGAAAAAACCATCAAAACCAAATATTCCTTTTTAACTAACAGAGAATGATTAAAGTCCTATAAAATGAATTCAACTTATCCATACAATATCGATATCTAAAAAGATCCCTGGCGCCATCCATGGCAAAATCCATCGAGAGCACTGTGTATCCCTGTCAAAAATTCCCTAGTTCGTGATCAATGATTTCGTCGTTCGCGTGGTAACCGACAGAGGACAACGGATCATCAAAGTTTCTCGATACGTTGCAATTCATCCTGCAATGATACTGCGCACATTATCCTTATGAAAACACGAAAAAGAAACGTTTCCGAATACAAGCGATACCTAACCAAACCATGAAAACTTCTAGAAAAATAAAAAACCACCATTCGTGATGATGCGTACCATTAAAGTCACGTTCAACGTGATGACAGGGATGTTGGACGCGGGAGCACAGAGAGTTGCCTATAGTTAAGGGGTTGAAAAATACTGTAAAATATAGAACGTCATATTTTAAATATTTTTCATGAACAGTACGAAAAGTAACGATTTCACCGTTGAACGTGATGTCGCAATTCGAAAGCGTGCTCGTACGCAGGCGCGCCAGTGGGAACGTTCGATGGTGATTCGCATCGTTGTGATTCGAGTGTAATTGCGATTTACGATTTGCGTCGGTGATCGCAACGCCGGTACGAGCGGAATCTCGAAATCGATTGAAATTCTGACTCGGAGAATTAACAGTGACACGATAATTCGTTTATAATTAATAGTACGATCCGTCGGAGGAACTGTCGTGGTAAATAGAAGAAGTGAGTCAAACGATCTATCTACTCGAGATCGACCGATCGATCGATACACGTGCGCGCGTCAACGAGTCGGAGGGTGCACAGGAACGCGGGCCAAAAATTACGTAAAATTTCTGTTCGTCGGTCCGAAGATGGGGAGACTGAACGCGCGGGATACCATAAAAATGCTTTATACCATGATAAGAAGGTACGTAACAGAGCTGCGACTAATGAAATTATGCACGTAATCGCGATAGGTTTCTCGAGAGACAGAAGAACATTTTCTTCCGACGGAAGAAGATGTATCGTCGCTTCCGATTCGGTAAGTGTTACTGATATCTGCCGAACGATCCCCGTTTGGATTAAACGGTCGACGAAATAACGTGTGTCGGAGGAGAGTGCGTTCGAATGGTGTGTGGCTGTACAGTCGTGTGCGTGTGCGGATCGGTGTTAGAGCCGCGGTTTCCAACCTGGCTGACGCAGCTCCGGGGAGGCGGCAAAATTTGGAATAAAAAATTAATATTTATTGCATAATATCTATGAATAAATAAATTTCACATCGTAATGTAATGATAGAAATTTAGTGAAGTAATGTTTCTTTCGTTATGAAGTTATTATGTAGAACGTGTCTATATTATTATAGCTATTAAAATATAGGGAGGCCCCAAAATTTGTAATAAAAAATTAATACAAATTTAGTGAAGTAATGCTTATTTTGTGACAAATTTATTATTATTTAAAACGTATCTATATGATTATACCTATTAACCCTTAGCACTCCAGATTACTTTGTAATCTATCAGCAACTGCAACTAATTTTTATAGTATTCCCAGCGAAAATCAGAAATGCTATAACATTTCTTCTTCTATTATCCTTCTCAGTGGAAAATTGAATAATTTCAGGGTAATTTCTTTAAGATTCATTAAAATATCTAATATTATTCCTGGTGGAATATTGGAGCCTAGAGTTCAAAGGGTTAAAAAATAGAAAAGGGGAAAAAGAAATTTCTTAGGGAGTCGTAGCATAAAGGTTGTATATAGTAAACTAACGTTGGTCAATGTTCACAGCGCTTCCAGTGATCCTATGGTGGCTGGTCGTCGCGAATACCGAGGGCGACGTCGTCCGCAACGAAGACATCTGCGGAGCGCATAACGGACGTCGATTGTACCTGGAACTCGGGGAAAAGGGTATCCTGTACGCGAGGAACGTCTCGTTCGCCAAGACAGAAGCGAGGCAGGATGGCACGCGGATTTACGCGAACAACAGCTCTCACGCTCAGTGCTCCCTCGAGTTGATCACGTGTCCGTCCTGCGTGATCATCGTCACCTTCCAAAGTATCACTCTGTCGCATCACTGCGGCGATGGCAGCGTCACGATGGACAGCCCCTGCAGGTAGTCTCGGCTGTCCCCTAACTGGCAATTGCACTGGTCAACAGGATTTTACAGAAGTCTTAACGGATGGTCTTAACACTAGGTTTACGGGTATTTATTGCCATCCATTTGTCTCCATCAGTAGTTCTTGAGAAAATTAATTTTGAGAAGAAACTCAAGTTTCTAATATTGAGAAACGAATTATCTCAAGGACTATGGGGAAGAATGGATGGCACATTTGAATTCAGTATGAGAAATGCTTTAAGACCACCCGTTGAACTTAACACGTTAAGCGCCATGTCAGTCACAGTAGTAACAAGATAACCAATATAGAATGAAAATATTTAATAATGTAACTATATTGATAATAGTGTAATGCAAGGATTACAACGCCAAATAGTTAACAATTGTGTCTACTTGTCTTTCTACAAAGGAATAACTCTACAGAAAAACGGTCAAGATTTTCGTGGCACTTAACGTGTAACCGTGACCGGTTTGATCACAGTGGATCCGTTTCAGATGCGACTACGTATGGATCTCGGAACCACCGTACGAGGACGTGTCCGGAACACCGTTCTGCGGCCTGTACGCGCCAATCACATACAGGTCGAGCACCAGGACCCTCTCGATCACTCTTCTCTACAGTCAGTCGCGGAAGCATGCGTTCACGCTCGAATACACGGCGGAGAGTAAGCGCGCGCATCGTTTGACACTGTTTAACCCTTTCCGGACGAATGTCGACATTTCGACGAGATGAAAGTTTCATATTTGGAAGCCTAAGTCGTAAACAAATGATTCAATTACTCGAACACCAACAGATCAGCACGTAGTTTTCTATTTTTCTATTGTTAGAGTAATTGATATATAATTTAGCTTCATCTGTTGAAGCAGTGAGAGCTAAAGCGTTTCGTTTCTAAGTCGTAAACAAATGATTCAATTCCTCAAACACCAAGAGATCAGCACGTAGTTTCTATTCTTCCACTGTTCAAGTAATTGATATATAATTTAGCTTCATCCGTTGAAGCAGCAAGAGCTAAAGCGTCTCGTTTCCCAGGGAACAGGTTGCACCTGAGGGGCACGGAATCGACAGCGACGGGTCTAACGGCGAAAGGGCTGAACGGAACCGGCGGTGGTATTTTGACGTCCCCGTTCTTCCCCGCTCGATATCCTCGAGACTTGGGCCTCGAGTACGTGGTCGCCTGCCCGAGCGAAGCGCCGTCCTGTCGCATCAGGCTGCTGTTCAGCGACTTCCAATTGGCGACGGTGTCGATAATGGAGGTAAGCGGACACCGTTCCTCCACCGTTTGCGTCCCGACGTTGCAACCCGTCGACCGTTCAAAATTAGCGCGCCTGAGTGAGCGTATGGCCGAGCGAATGAGGTGTGTGTGGATGTGAGAGAGAGAGAATGCATGTATATAAAGAAGAATGTTAATAGAAGTTATTCAACTAATTAAAATAAAGAGTTGCAAAGACAATTAACACAACGATCTACGTTCGACGTTGCAGTTCTACGATTGGAACGGGCAACGGTTGGACGTGAGTAGCGGCGCGAGGTTCCGTCCACCGGTGATCGTCAGCTCCGGCCCGTCGCTGCTGATTCGGTTCTACGCGAACGGCGGCACCGGGTTGGGCTACAAGGCATTTTATTCGTTCGTGATCGGCCACGCTTTCGACAAGTCCGTGCAACCGATCACCGACTGCGGCGGCTACGTGGAGAACCTCGGCGGCGCCATCACCATGATGGACATGGTCGGCGAGGGTGTGAAGACGTACGACTGCGTCTGGCTGATCAGACCGCCGAAGAACTTCCTGCACGCGAAGACGCACATGTACCTGAAAGTCGTCGCGTTCGCGGACATGGGTGAGCAACCGATGGAAGCTAACCCTTTGCGCTCGAGAGGTGACTCTCGGTCACTTGGTTTGACGCAGCAATACTGTGAAGTTGAATATTTAGTATTTTAACCAGTTAACTGTGGAATTTAGTTGGAACAACCTCTGGTTCAGCGCGCAATAAAATGAAACAATGGAGCGTGTACTCGTCGAGCGCAGGATGAGAACGCAGTTTATGTGAAAAAATCAAGAATTCATCGCTGAAAGAATTAGTATCACGTCAAGCTTTACGACGTGTATACTCGTCGAAGAGTTAACTGGTTAATAGAAATGACTCGGAGTTGCCGAGAGGTCGCATCAGAAATTGCTCGGAGTGCAAAGAGGATTCCCTGGTTTCAGCCGGCAACACGGAGCTGGTGGTGAGGCAAGGTCCAACCTCGGTGCTCCTGCCGCTGGAGATCCTGAGACACCCGGCGAGTCAGGTGCAGCCACCGAGGTACAGGGAGCACGTAGCACCGGTTACCAGCGGCTTCCACGTCAGCCTCCGAGGAACGTTCGGTGCCTCGTCTCATTTGGCGATCGCCTACGCAGCCTTCAGCTACACTGGTAAGACTACCATCGATGCATCGTGGAATACCAGTACTTCCAGCGTTGATGTAGGATTTTTTCAAATGAGTGACTGAGTATGGGATGAATGGTTTGTGCGTGCGGGCGAGGTCATAGTGCGACGGACTAAAACCTCCTTAAACGCCCTACCCCAATCCACCTCCTACACCTCTCAAGACATAAGGTTTTTTGAAAGTTTTACCCTGATACCACACCACATGGAACCACCTAAAATCATATCTCAGCACTCATGACACAATAGCACTCTAAAACTCTCTAGATAAATCCTGGTAAACGGGACCAAATATCCCTGATACAGGCATCTCCCACACAAGAGAAATCGAATTAAAAAAAAGTGCCCAGTTGAGCGTCTTTTGAGCGAGACACAGAGTGGGACGTTTTGAATTAGTAACAGTTAGCGAGTCAGCGAGTTATAATAGAATAAAGTACTTTAATTCTTTCTTTCTATTCCTCGCCACGGCAACGCGTGGGATTTAAATGAAAATAACTCCTACAATATCGTGCTTTTTCAGATTGTTTCGCCGGATCGGACTTCCTTTGTCGGAACCACAGGTGCATACCCAACCAGCTGAACTGCGACGGCTTCGACCACTGCGGAGACGACAGCGACGAGCCGGCGACCTGTTTCCGAGGTACCATTTCCGAGATACCAACGGTCGAACGTCCGTCGAACCGTTTCTGTAGCTTGAACCGATTTCTTCCCGTAGACTGGGAAGTGGAACCGCGAGATCGGAAATGGAACTCGAACAAGGCGAACTACTACTTCCCCAAGATCGACCGGTATCCCGACTTGAAGACGGCCACCCTGGTGTTCGTCGCGAGCAGCCTGGGCCTGATCGTCCTGATCTCGGCGTTGATCGTTCTGCTGTACAAGATGGGAGCTAGAGCGAGGCAACAGAGGGAGCTGCAGTCGAGGCTGCAAACGATCAGCGAGCTGTTAGGTAGGGAAACGACCGGCTCAGATTACGTACAAGTCGAACGACTCGCTAACTACCGGCGATAGCGGACGAGCAAACGATGCGTGTTGACCGGCGATCCTCGTCGACTTCTCACCGCGACTTTGGACAGTATTCGATATTGCAGACGGAGCGCGGATCGACGAGATCGCGGTGTCCGACGACCCGCCGGTCTACGAGGCTCCGCCCGGATACGACGAGGTGGTCAAGATGGGCCTCGAGTCGGAAATCCTGGCCCGCAAGAAGAGGAGGACCTACGCCAGGGATCAGTGCATCTCGAATTCTCCAGGACGCGGATGCTCGTGAGTCATCCGTTGCTCGCTTCGTTGCTACGAAATCTTCCCATTTCCGGTACCCGTACGAGTCGAATCCCTCGGAATGCTCTAACTTAACCGTTCGAGTCCCACCGGTTTTTGCAAATCAGTTGAAAAATGCCAAGCGTTTCAATGCAGAAGCTGACCTTGTCACTTTGCTACTTTTACAAAAAGAAACTTTAAATAACGTTCTTCAGTCTTAGGCGAGTAATAAACACAAGAATGAATAATTAGAAGGAAGAGAAATAAATAGAATGGCACTTTCAGGCAATTCTCGCGCTGCTTGAGCGGAAAGTACAGCAAAATCGGCGCCTCACTCAACGTGTCAAACGATTCCAGGTTGGAGGGTGGTCACTCGTCGGCGAGCACGAGCCGTGGGAACCGAGCAGCGGTGCCGACATCGACCAGCAGCGGCGAGGCGGAAGGCGACGCGGACACCGACGCCGACGGGGACGCCGACGTCGACCTCGGTCCGCCCCGGAGGCGCGTGACGTGCCTGCCCGACAGTCCACCGCCGCCGTACGTCACTCCGCCGGGGTCGATATCGCGGAAGTTCGCGCTGGCATACGCGAGTGTCTCGCACTCGAGTGAGTATCCTCGTCTCACTACGCAGCTGCTACGTTCCGCTTGACAATTATCGCACCAACAGGCGCAGGCCGGGACGAGGACGAATCTGACGGCCGAGACGAGAGGGAAGCGAACGCGGCTCAAGAAGAAGAAGCGGAAGAGGAAGACGAAGAGCAAGGACCGGGCCGCGATCGGCCCCGTC